TTTGTTTTGGTACCAGGAATTGAAATCAGGACCTTGTACTTGTGGGGCAGGCAGTGGAATCACTGAGCTAAATCCCCAGCCCTCTCAGTATTTTGGGGGGAATGGCCTTGTTTTCCTCATTTCTCAGCTAGTTCATTATTGATATATAGCAACATTATTGATTTATTTAGTGTTGATTTTATATCCTGAAAAATTATTTGTTATTGTACATTTAGTGGCACTTGTGCATACACTTTTAGTTAAGATAGTCACAAAATCATATCCAATTTGAAGGACAGGAGTATTTATACAATGGTGGGATTATAGTCAAGAATATGGAAAGAATTGAGAGAATAAGCCATAGAATGAGCCAGGAAACATGGAATTGTTGGGTTGACAATCCAGTAAAGGAAACTAGAGTGAAAACAGTTAGCAAGGTAGAAAAAATAGAAAGGAGTATCATGAAGATGAGAAAGTGTTTTAAGGAGTAGGAGACTGTAACAGTGAAATTTTTACTAGTGATTAAGAAATCGAGTAAGGTGAAGACAGAAATACCATTGGTTCCAAGTTGCTTACTAGTCTCTGTTGAATGATATGGATGGAAGTCAAGTTAGAATGAGCTGAGCCAGGAGTGAGTGGGTGAAGCTAACAAGAGTACATCATCTCAGCTGGTAGTTTTGATGTGAAGGAGTGAGGAGCCATGTAGGCCTAAGAAAAATTATTTTTTCAGTATTAGGGACTGAACACAGGGCTTCACACATACCAGGCAAGTGCTCTACCACTGAACTACATCTCCAGACTGAGATAGATTTTAAAGCACGTTTGTGTGATACTGGGAATATTTATAAAAGGGGAGGTGTTCCTGGTCCAGGAGCGAGAGTATGTAGCTAAAGAAGCGAATTTCTGAGCATGCCACAGAGAATTCCATTAGAAAGACAAGGGTAAAACTTGCGTTGTTTGTTTTAGGACACATTTACACTGCAAGGAAGGCAAGAGGGTGGATGCAAGTACTTACAGTTTGTCTCAGATTCTTCTGTTTTTCTCAGTAAATTAGAGAAGATCATCGTCTTACCATGGAAAGGGGTGGACTGGCAGAATGTATACAACGAGTTTGTTGGAGAACGTATAGTACTTGTACTACTGGAGAGTGGAGGCTTAGATACGAATGCAGGGCAGTTCTGTGTTTAATGGCGGTACTGAGAACAGGTGATGTGTGAATCTTCTACTGTGTTCACTTGATCGGGTGCAGGCAAAGAAAAGGGAGCTGTGTAGCCCGAAACGAGTTGCGGTTTTGTGAGGCAAGTGTGATGGAGGAAGAGGGGAAGGAGGGAGCTGAAGTGATGGCAGGATTTAATTATAGCGGTGGAGTGTGGGACTTAAGCTGGTAAGGAAGGAAGTGAAGACGGGATGTAGGGGTGATACATCACGTGACAGTAATAGCGACAATTAGTTCAAGGTCAGCCACAGTAGAGATGAAGGGCTTGAGGTCTGTGTGGGGGAAGGAGCTTTAGAAGGGGTTCAGAGTAAGAGCTTAAAGGATAGACGGTAGTAGTTAAGGGTTAGATATTTCATCCAGACATTTGTACTTATGTTGATTCATTGACATTTAACAAAATATAAGCGATCATCCCCTTTGCCAGCACTGCTTGAGTTCTTGGGCAAAAGATGATAAACAGCAAAGTCTGCTGAGGTGGAGTTTATATTCTACCAAGAGACAGACCACAGTGTTACCTAAATTGAAGGGCTGAGCTCTCTGAGGAGGAGTAGGTGAATAAGGTGAAAAAAGATCGACAAGATATGGTGTTTTAGAAAGAGCAGTCAGGAAGTTCTCTCAGTGGGAGTGAGAAATGAGCAGAGGCCTCCGAGAGATGGGTGAGTCATTGAAGTGTATGGGGGAAGATAGTTCTGGTGCCAGAGCTTGGTAGAGAAGAGTGAGCTCTGTTTGGCCGAGGAAGAGGGGAAGCCCGTGAGCAAGTGCAGAGAGACAGAGAGTGGAGAAGGGTTTGCTTTTACCCTGAGGGTGATTGCAAGCCACTGGGGGAGGGGCTGGAGTAAATTTTGGAATTCGCCTCCTGGAGGTGGTGGAGCCCCTGATGGTGTCTGCGTGACATGGGAATGGGGTGGTGCTGGAGGAAATGCTGGCTGGAGATAGGGAACCAAGATTTCAGATGAAGTTTCTGCCTCAGCGTTGGATCTCATGGTATCAAAACCAGTGATCATGCTAGAGAGGCAGGAGGAAGGTAGGACAATGAGTCAAGAGTTGAAGGGTGAAGTAGTCAGTGAACAGCAGGGATGAGGAGGGAATGAAAAGAATCTGTAGATGGCAGAAAGGAAGAGGGATAGGTAGCAGGTGACTCATCAGTGGCAGGAGTTTTCAAAGGAGCCCATGGTTTTGAAGGAGAATAATCATCTGGAAGTGTTCTTGGGGATCAAAGAAGTTTCCCACCCACTTTCTGTCCCTTAAATATGCAGGTTTTAAATAAAATGCCTTTATCTGAGAGGACTGTAGGACCAGGAAGTCCTCACTGGGCAGCCAGGTTACTATTAATGCAAGGTGGTGACATTCCCTTTAGGAAGAGGTGAGAGCTGGCTTCTCAACCAGGGAATCTTTGCTTTCTGGGTGACATTGGCTGGAGACACTTTTGGCTGTTAGAACTGGGAGTTGGGTGATTGCACTGCTGGCATTGTGGTGGTGACTGGGGATGCTGCTGAGTGTACAGGCGGACCCCTCTCGCACAGCACAGAACTAGCAGGGTCAGTACTGTCAGTAGTGTTATGCCAGGGAAACCCTAGCCAGGGTTAGCCAACAGATTTAGAGTTATTTTCTCACTCAAGAACTGGAATTCCAGCGGGTCATAGTTCTCTCTTCCACATTATTCCGTGACCTTTGGTAATTTCTTTTGCGAAATGTGTACATACACATTCACTCTGTCACATTTACTCCACAGGTATAGCGGACCTTCTTTCCTTTACTGTTTTGTTACACAGTGTGTGAATTATAGGCAAGAAGTACAGTAGTATTAGGGCTGTTTTCTGTCCTTTGGTAATATAATTAATCACTTGAGAATAAGGGGTGTGGTTTCCTGGATATTTAGTTCCAGTTAAGTATTGTACAGGTAAACTTCAGTTCTGTTGGGGAAAAATCTTCTACTGCCTCTCAAAACATGTTTTTGAAGACCAAAGAGTATTCTCTAATGACCTAAAGAAATGGAGAAAATAAAGGGTTCTCTTTTGTTCTACTTTGTTGTTCCAATTTTTGTTTTTGTTCTTGTGCCAGGGATTGGAGCTAGGGTCTCCTGCATGCTAAGAATGTGCTTTTCCACTGAGCTACATCCCCGGCCCTCATTACACATATGAAAGGCAGATTTTTAGATTAGCTTTGTTTTACTGGCAGAATTAGGGAGAGACAGGAAAATTGCATGACTACTGTCATGATTAGTGTGTTGACAAAATTATGCATTTATTATGCTTTAAGATTTAGCTGTTGTCACCAAAGTATAGATCTGGGCCTGGTTTTGTACAGGACGGAGCAAAGAATGACTTCTATGTACTCAGAGGTATTTTAAAGCAAAATGAAACCCAAGAATATGCAGTGGCAACCTTATGTGGCTCACAAAACCAAAAATATTTACTTTTGGCCCTTTACAGAAATAATTTCTTTTTTAATATACCAGGGATCAAACTTGGGACCTTGTGCTTGCAAGACAGGTGGCAGAACCAGTGAGCTAAATCCCCAGCCTGGCCCTTTGCAGAAAAAAATGTGATGATGTTGTCTGAAATTTCATTTCCAGTTCTGACCATGTTGTGAAAGAATCTGTGTCATAGAATGGTAACATGTTAATTCAGAAATCCCACAAATGTTTATCAATGCTTTTTCTGTGCAGTTGGCCAGGTGTGCAGGATATTTGTTGCCTTTTGGTCCCAGCTGCTTGGGAGGCTGAGGTATCGGTAAGAGGTTCATTTCAACTTAGGAACTGGAGAACAACCTGGACAACATAGTAAGAATCCCATCTCCAAAAACATTATTACAGAAAGGGTAAAGGGTTCCCAGAGAGTATGACAGGAAATCATTGAAAGTTTTTCCATGTGAGTGATCGTGACCTCAAGTTGAATCCCAGTTAGATGGGGGAGCATCAGGTAAGCACTTAGGAACAGCTGAACATTTTTCTGTTTTCTCTCATAGTTCATACATACTGAAAAAGTTCCACTAATGAAGGAAGGTAAGAGAACCGGGAATGTCAGAAATACGTGAGGGAGCCCATGGTTCTCACCTCTGGCAAGAGTCAGTGGTGACCAGTAAGGTGCTGGTGCCCAGGGTTCCGGTGACTCTGTTCTTCTAGATGATTCTAAGGCACAGCCAAGATTGAGAACCCTGGGCTAAGGAGACCCAGGTCTGCTAGGGTCTTCAGCCAGTGTCTTCTCATTGTACTTCCCTTTTCATGTCTCTTTTATTGAAATAATAAAGTCTCAGGGTTCTGAGGAGCATCTGAAAATTCGTTGAATTTCTGGCTTTCTCTCCCTTCGGGGTGACGGAGTCGCTGGCCAACTCTCTGCCCTTTTCAGGGATTGCTGCCTTTGCCTGTGCACCCGTCACATTCTGTCTTTCTCTTCTGCCAAGCCCAAAAGAGTGACTGTGAATGTCAGTCACTGACATTTCTAGGCCGGAATGGTGGCACATTGGGTTACTGTTGTCTTAGAGAACCTTCTGCGGGCTAAACAAAAAGAAAGGAGAATTGCTACCTCATTAGGTGGAGGTGTTTCAGCTGGTAACCTGGCCCATTCTCTTGGGAGACTGGAGGTATTTTGGGGCAGCTGCAATAGCAAATACCTGCCACCCTTTCCTAGGAGGTATCTGAGCCTCAGACTGCAGTTTTCCCTGGTTGGAGAGGCCCCTTTCCGTAGGGGTCGGTAGCCTTGCAAATGGGAGTTGCTCATTGCCCTGTTTACCCTCCGCTGCCTGGAGAGTTTGGAGCCAGGTGAGCCACCAGTTCTCCCGCCTAATGACTGTGTTTCCTGTGCAGGGCGAACTCTGTTGGAGAAACTGTTCAGCCAGCAAGAGAACGGGCCTCCAGAAGAAGCAGAGAAATTTTGCTCCCGGATCCTTGCCATGGGTCTTCTGCTTCCTTTTAGTGACTGCTTCAGGGAGCCCTGCAGTCAGAGCGTTCAGTCAAGCTCTGCTCCATTTGATGTAAGTAGGAAAACCCACTGCTGTCTGCGAGGGAGATTGCAGCGACCGTAGCCATGGGGACGTGCGCCTGCCTGGTTACCCTATAACTTCCAAACAACACGTGACGCAGACCTTTCCCCCTGGGCCACTCGGTGGCTCAGGAAATCTGCTTCTGTGTTCTTTTTGACTACACTATCACATATTGCCAAACATCTTTTATGTAACCGATGTCTGCTCGGCTCTTTTCTAGCCTGGTCTAATCAGCTATGAATTTAAGATTAAATTTTAAAAACGAGTTTTTCATGATGCTAAGGGTAAAACCCAGGACTAGGGTAAGCGCTTTGCCCGCTGCATCCCCAGCCCATCAGTGGCTCTAAGTCCGTGTTTCTGACTTTGCTCCTCGTAGGCATTCCTTTGCAAGTAACTCCGCAGGGCAAAATGCTGTCCCCATGGGTCGTGGTTTCCATGGACCCTAAAGCGCAGTGCGTTCCCAGCTCATTTCTGTACTAAACTGCTGTGGTGCAGCGTCGTCTGCTTTCTTCCTCAATTCCCATTCACCAAGAGTTGACACTGAGGCCCAGTAAGTGAAAAGGCATGTTTATTATTTATAATGAGTATGAGTTCAGCTGGATTACCATGTTCAAGCCAGAGTATCTCTGATCTTTCTCAGGTACGTGTGTGTGACAGGGGTTGTGATGAGTATGCATCTGAAACCAGACATGCAAGGATCCTTGTAGGTAAATTTCTCTTACGAAAAGTGAAGATCTGGTTGGTTCCCTGATGCTGATCCCAGAATGTGAGAATTGAGAGCAGCCCAATTCCATGTTTGGTTGTTGTTAACTGCGCCTCTTCTCTTATCAGCCTCCTTCAACGTATGTGTTGTGGTTCAGACAGTGAACTAATGAAGTTTTAAGAGACAGCAAAAATGGACAGAGGCTGAGGTCAAAATGTGGTAGTAAATAATAAACTGTAGCTGAGCAAGACAGCACACACCCCTGTAATCCCAGCTACTTGGGAGGCTGAGGCAGGAGGATTACAAGTTCAGGCACAACCTGGGCAATTTATAGACATTCTGTTCCAAAATAAAAACCACAAAGGTGGTGAGGGGGACCTAGGGATGCAGCTTTTGCAGTGCACAAGCCCTGGGCTTAATTCCCAGTACTGTTACAAAAAAGTTCTGTATTTCCCTGCTTTTCTTTTTCCTCTTCCATACCCATGGTCTCCCTCAGTCTCCCTTCAGGATGCACAGAATAAATCTTAAAATATCCTGAGAACTTCTTGATCCTTTCCATCTGAAGCAAAGTTCTCTGGGTTATGCTGTTGCTTATGAACTTTCCTTATTAGTTTTTTTAAATTTAAATTTGTTCCTAAGGTAATTTAAAAAATCAGTGCTAGGTAGATCTTTTCTTTCTATAGGAAGAATTGTATAATTTTAATTCTTTCCTGCTTCCTCCTCTATAAAAGATCTGTGATGTTGTAGATGCAGACCCTGAGGATTATGGTACATTAAGTGGTATCAGGCTGTGTTTTAGAAAATATATCAAACACATTGGAATTATAAATATGGTACAGAAAAAGGGAATTACTAGCTATGAATAGCACTTAATTTTTAATTAAAGCCATTTCTAAATTAACTTCAGTTTTCTCCAGTAAAGCCCAGAGTAAACAATCCTGTTAGTCAACAGATATGGAACTGGGATAAGCTGAAAGGAATATAACCTCATTTCCTTCTCTCTTTTATTTTTTATTTATTTTTTGGTGCCGGGGATTGAACTTGGGACCTTGCGTTTATGAGGCAGGCAGTCCTCTCTTTTAAACTGTTTATTGCTTTTAAATTGCTGCACTTTTGAGGATGAACCCAGGGCCTCACACATACTGGGAAAGTTCTTTGCCACTGAGCTACATCCCTAGTCCTTCTCTCTATTTTTAAAAATTCAGCTAACCTCCTCTACCTCACCTCTCTCCATTCTTACGTCCTCAGCCATGTTATTTTGGAGGGCAGCTGGGTGTGGCATAAAGATCGAAAAGCAAACCCACAAAAAATTAAATCCTTCCGTTCTGTAGGCAGAACTTCCCTTGAAATTCGGGAACTTCTGTCTCTCTCCCAGGATGGTGTGATTGTGTTTTCTTACTGTATCTGTCAGCTCTGCACTAAGACTCTACTCACCCACACCAAACTGAACACAAAACAAAGAAGACATTGAAGCTGCTCTCAGGAGCAGCATTGCTCCGTAGACTTACACAGCAGCTCAGTTACCAAACCATGTACTTATTGGGTATATGATCAAGGGTGTACTTTAAAATCCAGAGAAAAAATGGTTCAGGCCTGGCCTTTGGAGACTGAGGCATCCAAATGTGATGGGGAAGAAAATGCTTTTCCCTGGGGAAAGATGTTGCTGATAATTAGCCTCTCTGCTGATTTCCAGAAAAGAGCTATTGGGAGCATTTCTAACCAATAATTCTCTTGACAACAGTTGCCCTTCAAGGCATAATACTCTGTAGGAATAAGCTCATGATTGGCGATCTTCCCACCCCTTGACTTTGTAACTTCGTTCCCTTCCTTAACAGAATCTGACCCCTCTTCCATCGTCATATACACATGTAATTTAAGGCAAAAAATTGTTGATTGGGATCTTGCTGATACAGCTTGTGAATCGGACTACTTCAGTTAACCCTTCTGATTTTAGTCTCATGTTATTTTTTACATTCTTAGGTCTATGGCCTATCATTTTGCTTTACAGAATGCTGTGGAAAATATGACAATACTTTGAATTTTCTCTCATATGCTAACTTAAGGATTTAAGAGATTTAAAAGACATAAATAGCTCTGAGTGACTGTGTTAATTTATTTACACATGTTTCCCATATACATTCTACATGCCAGGTGTCAAGTTTTCACTGTAAAATAATTCAAGAAAAAGGGGAGGCTTTTTGAAGAAAAGGAAAGAAAAGAAAAAGAGTTGGCAAACTAGGAATAGGCAGCCTTTGGCACAAACTGAAGTGTATTCTGAAGGAATAAGGGTGGGGTGTGTGGCTGGCTTGTATAGAAAAAAGGCTTGTCCAGATTTTCGCTTATGCAAATGATGGATCAAGCTTACACAGTTCTGATTGGCCAGCTTTATGCAAATACAGCAATAGTCCTGATTGGTTGAAATTTACATATAACTGGACTGTGAGTAGTAATTCATTGGTCAGATTGAGGTGGCAAAATGAGCCTTATTGGAGTAGATTGTTTATCTTGGGTTGTTGGAGCAGAAGGGTGCCCCAGACAAGGGCTGCAAAGCTAGGTGTGTTTTTCTGGGAACATTCCATCAAATAAGGGCCCCATTTGGAATTTTAGGCCCACATGGGACCCTTTTTGGAGAGAGAACCTTGCTGAAATTCAGATAGGTAATAGTTTAGCTTCTGAAACATGTTAGGCCTGTGAAATAAAATTCTTGTTCTTCTGAAATGTATATCTTACTGGGGGAACACCCAAATTAATTTCTATCACATTCTCACAAGCAATATGGAGGAAATAAACCTGAATAATGTGCTGGAGGGAATGGCTGGCATAGGATAAATGCGGAGGGAACTTCTCTGGGGACCCATGAGGCCACTTTCAAGGAGAGGTCATTCCAGGCAGCACCAGAGGCCAGTTCAGGGGGCATAGTGAGGCCCAGTGGGAGGCTGGATAGCTGCATGCAGCCTGCTGAGCTGCGGATAGAAAGGAAAGGTTCAGGAGCCAGAATGGTAGTGTTTTGAAACCATGAAATGAATATGCATTTTTAAAAATTTTAACAAAGTGTGAGCTTTTGTGAAGTTTTGTGTAGGGAAAGAATGTAGTTGCTTTATGTGTTGCAGAGATCACAACCTCCAGTCTTTAGATAATAAGAGCGTAGGGACAGAGGTAGAAATAGTACTATAAGGCGGGCTGTCATACTTGCTGAGTTGTTGAGAGGGAGGTGGTGGCAGCAGCTGGGGTGGGATGTGGGTTAGGGAGATGGAGTCACTGGTTTGTGGTGGATTCTGGAGGTGAGACTGCTGGGTCTTTTGGTGGGGACCAGGAAAAAAAGGAAATCAGGGATAGCTTGGCTTTTGAAGTAGCTGGGTAGATGAAAGATGGTGACATTTACTGAGATGGAGAAGATAGGTGCATTCTGAGGAGGAAAGTGTGAGGACAAAACTGGTATTTATTATGCACTTTTCTTGAGGAAAATTCTATTGCTTCAGAAAACACTATTGGATTATTCCCTGACAAACATGAGTTTTCTTTCGGCCGAGTAGAATGATGCTGACTTTATTAGCTGATCACAGTGAAGGCCATCATGCGTGAGATGATTTTAGCTAACAGAAAGACTAGTGTTGGCTTCTATAAAACTAAAATAAATTTTGAGTTCCTCGACAGGCCTAATCATTTTCTTTCCTTTTTGGAATTGGGGGTTGAGGCCAGAACTTCCCATGTGCTGAGCAAGTGTGCTCCATGACGGAGTTACTTTCCCAGCCCTTTTTATTTTGTTTCTTGAGACAGGGTCTCACGAATTTGCCCCGGCTGACCTCTCACTTGCACCTGTCCTGCCTCCACCTGGTAAGCAGTTAGAATTACAGGTGTGTACCTCCACGCCCTATTTAAGGGCCAATAACTATTCTAGTGTCTCATTCCGCTTTTGTTACTATCTGGGGGCCTAGAAGTTGTCAACTTCTTATTGCCTATGAGTGTTTTCCTTTAGCTTTTTTTTTTTTCAGTTTTGTGTCTCAAATAGAATTCTCAAGTAGAACTGTGCCAAAGCTAGCGAGGAACACACACACACACACACACACACACACACACACACACACAGAGCTATTATTTGCTGCTTAGTAAGTTATGTTGTTGAGTTGTATGTGTGTGTGGTTGGAGAACTTTTTTTTTTTCTTTTGGAACTTGTTCTGGTTATCTCTTATCATGCTTGACATTTTTACTGCACTTTCAAAATCTCTAAACATAGTAAAAGATTTGTAATTATCACGTTCCTTGTCATTTGAAGTTTCAGGCCATTGTG